GTTATTTAGAAATAATTACTTAAACTTATTTTACTAAACATAGAATAGTAAATAAAGAAGTAAAGTAAACAATTATCTCTTCTTTGATAGATTGTTTAGGCAGAGTATTCATGATGAAACTTTGTAGAATGGACAGTAACTGCCTGTTGTAGAAACACAAGTGTAGAGGACGACATATTGAAATCTATTCCAGATTAGAAGTGAGTAATGGTTACCTTTGGTTGAATCTACAGGAAATCTCTTCTCCAATCAGAAACAGGGATAAACCAACTAATCATAACATGCTCTCCACAATCCACCAGAATACTATAAAGACCAACAACACCTTACACACACTCTGACCTGAAGATGAAAGGTGAAAAACTTTTGAAATGTCATTCTCTACACTTGTGTTTCTACAACAGGCAGTTTACATACATTTATGAAATGGTAGTTCAATAAAATTTTTAATGCGAGTCAACAAACGAGATGACTTGGGTCTCGAAAGGGTTAATAGGTAATAGATACTGAGCCTCCCCACTTCTGGTGATATGTTGTGTAAGTCCTATGGCCAATCTTGAAGTGATTAATGAGTGCAACTTTGGAGAGGGCACTAGTTACGATAGGGGTTGTGTTACACTCCTATTGGTGGAAATCTGCTGCATAATCATTTACATCTGGACATGCAGAAGTGGGAGGTTGAAAGCTAGTGGCGAGCATTGAAAATTTGCTGTAATGGAGGGCAGTACTATTGTGTGAGTAGAGGTAAGTATCTATCTAAAATATATTTTTGGTTTAGGAAAATGTTACCTTTCTACCTTTGTGTTCTGATATTGTTCCACGTTTAATACTTTAGCATGAAAAGTTGGTATGCTCTATAATTATTGTTTTTATGTAGAACATATTTTTTAAAATTCTGTACTATTTATACACTAGTTATCTCACTGCTTTGTTACTTCAAAAAGGCTAGTTTTTTTTTCCTCATTATATTCAGTAGCTGAACCATAATGTCCACTTTGATAAGGTTTACATGCAGTTCAGTGGTGCTTTTTAAATAAAGCATGTTTTCCTGTAATTTCAACACATTGTACTTCTTGAAGTAATCAGTTTGTTACATGTCCTTTTTCATTTACTCTCCCAAGTGATCATGAAGGAGGAAATGTTAGTGCCCACACTGTCCATCTAGTTGCTAGTTCTCTTTCTGATCCCTACCTTGCATTTGCAGCAGGGATGAATGGTCTTGCAGGACCACTTCATGGATTAGCCAATCAGGTTAGGGTTGTGTTTTTATCTATTACTTTAACTGTTTAGAGCATTATGTTTAAAGTATAACTACATAGTATATAGAATACAGTGGCATGTGGTGGGTTGTCAGTTAGTTCATGCATATATAGAATTACACTTTATGAACATTATTTTTTCTTAACTTTTGAAATTTGATTTGTAGTTGTGCACTCAGCCAGTATTAATGATGTTAATGGCATAATTTTTTTAGCATGTATGATTTCTGGACCCTATAGCTATGCTATAACTGCTATGGTGTTACATTCACCACTGCACTGATAACAATGATAAGAAAAGAAGGTCAATCAAAACATGCTACATCAATGTTGTCGATGTCGAACCACTGCACAGACTTATCTGTCGTACTATTTTCATGCAGCATGACTTGAGCTGTGTTACTCACGAAAGGCTGAGATATCACTCCAAAGAACAAGATTCTGTTGAAAGTGCCAGCTTAGGCATTCAGAACTCGCATAGCATGTGATGAGAATACTGCCATAACTGCAACAAAAAGAAAGTACACACAATGAACACTTAAATTTTATTATGTAGTGTTATCACCATATTTTTAGTTTTCTAACTGGTCATGCAGTGCATGACTTGCATACCCTGACTACTCATTTTTCATTACACATAGTGTACGTTGATCTAAGTATTTAAGGAATAGGTAACATTAATATCGCTTCTTAATTCATTTAAATTGTTCATCAAACGTGCTGTTTGAAAACTTTTTGACCAAACTTACATAATTAGCGATAAAGAAATGAAGGGCCCAATCTGTTCTTGGATTTATCACGTCAATTACTCTGTTAAGACCAAAAAAAACATGGCTAGATCTTTTATAGAGGTGAACTGTAGTTTATATGTATGAAATCTGTAATCTGTAATCGTGTTTATTCATCACAAGTAACTGATGTTGATTTAGGTATATGAATAGGTGGTAGTAATATTACTAATTAATTCTTATTGTTTGATGGACATACTATTTGCAATGTTTTAGTTTTTAATATTGCCAAAATGTATAACTTAGTGAAAGAAAATCTATTATATAGATTTTGTATTATTATTGTTGTAAAAATGTAATGTCATCAAGAAATTAATGTCGCGTTTTGGAACACTTTCATTAACCACCCCGTGAAAAAAACGTACATCACGTATAATAGTTAAACGAACAGCCTAACCATCACGTTGGTGTAGCCTATATAATGTGTAAAGTTTAGTGTACTCTAATCCCTTACAGTGATGGCACATGACAAGACACACACATTTGTCGTGTAATGCTATTTGAATACAAGAAGGGAAACAAAAAAGATCAAAGAAATTTATGGAAATTTTTTGAATGTTTGTATGGTTCAGCAAATTTTGTACAGGTGATTTTAGCAGGGGTGATGGCAGGGGCGACGACATGTTAGAATTGATATTGATTTTCTGAAGACACTTGTTGAGTCTAGCCCAAGGCAAATGGCCCTGAAAGTGCATGTCTCTCATAAAACAATATGTAAATGTCTAGTCTAAGGAATATGGGAAAACTCCATAAAGAAGGTGTTTGGGTGCCTCACGAACTCTCCTATGATCGTAATTTCCAACATGGGAACGTTGCTTTGTCTCTTCTGGACAGAATTGTCACCAGTGATGAAAAATGGATTCTCTATGTGAATACTAAATGCCAAAAACAATGACTCCGTCCCAGACAGAAATCACTTCTGACCCCAAAACCTGGACTCCATCTGCAGAAAGTGGTGCTTTGCATTTGGTGGGACATCAAAGGAATAATTCATTTCCAACTCCTCAATCCACAGCGAACTGTCAATGCAGAGATCTATAGTCAGCAACTGGAATGCTTAACTCAAGCTCTTCATCAGAAATGCCCTTCATTTGTCAATTGGAAAGGTGTTCTTCTTCTCCACAACAATGCATGTCCACATGTGGCACATTTGATGCAACACAAGATTATGGAGTTTGGGTTGGGAAGTTCTCCCCCACCCACCATATTCTCCAAATTAATGTCGCTTTTTTTAGATGAAAAAACCCGAACAACTTATATATCAAAACAAAACATTTATTAAATGAAATAGTCTCCATTCTTATTGATGATGCTTTTCAATCGTACAATCAGGTTGTTAATGCCTGATTAAAGAAATCACTTGGCTTTCAAGCAAAATACATGTCGATGTCCTCTTTAACACCTTCCACATTTGCATACGTTTTCCCATTAAGATGGTGTTGTAGCGAACGAAAAAGATAGTAATCTGATGGTTTCATATCTATTAGGTCGTCAAGCCTTCCACATTTGCATATGTTTTGTTTTGATATATAAGTCGTTCAGGTTTTTCATTCCAAAAAAGGGACATTAATTTCTTGACAACCTAATATATGTATATGCATACAATTTTTCAAATAAACTGTATTACATCAGATGCATACAGGCAATCTCTCAGCACTGTATAGCCCTGACAAAATTATTATATAACCTACAATTTATTTATTGTACATGTAGATGTACATGCCAACAAAGTTCTAATATAACAATGTAAAATTATGCCAGTTGTACAAAAGGTATAATTTTAAAGTGAAAATGTCTGTGGTTATAGCTCCCAAAAGCATTGGGGATATTCCGTCTATCAGACATAATCGAAACAAGAGATGCAGAGCTAGTAAGCACATAACTGAAAGAAAGGGGATTAGGATCTGGGTGCTAGAACCCATAACATTACATATCCTACTGTCACTCACTGTCTATAGCTGGTTGTGGGTATGATAGCTATCCCTAAAAAACATAGAAATTAGATATTAGACCATCCAACCTTCTCCCTTTAGTATATTTACTCCATGATATTAAATTATGAAATATTATGTATATTTTAATGTATTACTGAAAACACTTAGGTTGGGATATATATATAAATAATGTAAACTTTTGTAACCCTAAAATATTGTATTATAAGGTAGATGTAAACATATTCAGTCTGAGCTTTGTTAAACATTAATCTATCATTCTTGATCAAACTCCTTGTATTGGAGGTTATCTAGAATGAAAAGTTAATGGCTTAAATTCTATTAGATTTTCAGTGATGTGTACTCTGAAGAAACATGACTTAAGCTTGCTTTTCAATCTGTTTCTTAAGGAAGTTTGAAGAACTTTTTTAAGAATAGACACAGCTTCAAGTCTTTTGAAAGAGTTCCTGTTAAGATAAACTAAATGATTTAGAGTGCAGGTGTTAATTGAGGTTGACCAAAAAGTTAGTTTATTTATGCTTTTGTTTCTGTGATGTGTAAAGACATTTATTTGAATTGTCAAAAGTGACAACAGATTCTAAATTATATTGTTTGTTCTATATCATTGACTAGCTTACTTAACATCTCATGCGTTTGAATATCATCTGCAATCAATTAAACATAGCTAATGTTGGGATTCCTATCTTGTGGTAAATCATACAAGAAATTAAGAAAGGAAATTCTGCATTCCTGTCTCTATACTATTAAACTTTTATATGGTAACTCTGAAAGCTTTTTATTTCCAGAATCGTCGAGACCTGTATGGAATATGCAGTTGGAAAATTATCCCAACTGTTGGGGATAATGGAGAACACATAAGGATACTAAAGAATATATTTGATGACTGTAGTTTTGAAAGCTCATCAGATCTTCAGAAAGTTGCTTTTTGGGTTTCCATTTTGAATAAACTGGTAAATGTCATTATTTTATGTTAAAAAAGAACTATGTAAAAAGAATTCTGCTGATGTGCTTCACCCGTTACCATAAAGTAAGAAATGATAATAAGTGATAATTTTTTTCCTGATACTAATGTCTATATATATAATATACAATTTAAAATAATATTCTTAATAATAGTAATAATAAAGAGCAGATGTGGGTGTGAAACTGAGGTTAAACTGGATAGATGGTGTACCCCCAATGTAATTTGGGTCTTACTTCTACCAGTACCTTAAAAACCAGGGTACATTGCATAACTACCCATTTTATGGTGTGTGCCTAGGTGGTACATTCTTGTTTTGTAGCTGCGTTGTTTCTTATTTTCTTTCATTTTCTACGTAATATTACAATTAATTATTTTTCGTCTAAAGTTTGAATATGCTGTGTTAAATTCATGCTATTCTTCCTTATGTTTTAATCTTTCTTTTTTTAAATTATATAATTAATGTTAATAAATGTTGTGTGTTGCTGTATTAATTCATGCACATGCCCATATCACTTTGCTTTTTGCATTTTATGGACGCTATCCATCATGTGTCAACTATATTCAGCTTAACTAGCTGTATATTAGTTTATTCTTATGGCTACAAACGTTATAAAATATGATAATCTTGGAAAAAGGTAGCAAATATAGAATAGCTAGAAAATGTAGAAAAATAGATATATTGAATTCCATAAAGAAAAACATAATGATTATATTCTCAAACTTAATTATTCTACACATTATCCTCCAAATTGGTATCTAGAATGGAGATATTATGTGATTAATAGAATTAAAGATAAATTAGCTTCTATTTATCTAAAAAAATATCCAATAGACATAAAATTTTTTCTGTTTAAAACTAAAATTGGTAAAATACAAGAAAACTATATTATCATGCCTGTCGATAAAGCCAACTGTAATTTTAGTTTTATTTGTAAACATTTTTCTGCACAACGTGTAACTAATGAAATAAATGCTATACAAACATTTCGGTTACAAAATAAGTGTAAAGATGCTATTATTAACAATTTGTCGAAAGCTATAAAAATTTGATGTTAAAGTAAATCCATATTCTGAAATACCATATCCATATGATATTCCTAAACTACACGTCTCCCATTAAATTTTGTTTTATTTCTAGTTCAGTAAAAACTATACTAAAACAACGTGCAGTTTTTAAAATAAATTACTGAATCATTTATTTTTAAATACAACAAAATCCAAGTAATAAACACGATTTCTGGATAATTAAAAATAATGAATCTATCTCAAAAACATTAGAAAACTTAAATAAAAAAAGCAATCGGCAGAGACAATACAAATTTATGATTTTACTACTTTATTTACAACTATACCACTTAATGCAGACAGCGAAAGGTGGTAAAGATGTGAGATGTTATTAGGCTAGAGCTCCAACATTTGCTCTTTTATTATTATTATTATTAAGAATGTAAGACCTGCAAAACTGAGGTTAAACTGGATAGATGGTGTTTGGGTCTTACGTCTGCCAGTACCTCAAAAACCGGGGCACATTGCATAACTACCCACCTTATGGTGTGTGTCCAGGTGGTTGTGTCTGTTTTGTAGCTGTGTTGTTTTTTTTTATTTACTATGTAATATTAAAATTAATTTTATATATAAAGTGCAGTTTCTTTTGTTTTGTGTAGTTGTGTAGAAAGAGATTATTTTACTTACATGTGTATATATATCTTTATCTTATTCAGGGTATTTTCAAGGAATTTGCAAGTTCAAGTGTTGAATGCAGTTATGAAGCATATGCACAAGACTTCAGAGTGAACAAAATAACCTGCTTTCAAGACCTAAATATCCAACTTTCAGTATTTAACATTTCTGAAACTAGAATGAGGTGAGAAGAAATTAACAGTAGTAATATCTAAAGTTCCTCAACTCAAAATGTAATAGTAATGTTTGTGTCCTTCTGAAATATCAGAGCCATAAACTGAATTTCTCTTACTGTCAGAACAGTTGTATAAAGCATGTCTCCATTGCATATCTGCCAAAAAGGTGTTTTAACCAAATAATCCGTACTTGAAAACTTCATTTTTAGACTATTGATTTCTAGTTATATTGCCCAGATTTCATTAACATTTTAAAATTTGGTATGAGATTTAATTATATAGAGTCATGACCATTTCTTGATATATAAAATAATGGAAATTAATGTGGAAACATTCATGAAATGTACTGTGTTGCAGAAGAAAGATTTGTTCCATACAAAGCTACATATAGCATAAAGGCAAATTAGGCATAGAGACTTTCAATAAATTGAACTATGTGTATCCATCTGTGAGCAAACAGATGTCACATAAGTGTTGTTGGAATGGTATTGTTAAAGTAAAATAAAATCAAGACTTATTTGGTGGAAATCTATAATCATGACATTGTTGATAGGATAAAAACATGTACATTTAATAATTTTTCTAATTCCTTGCTCAGCATAAACACAGCATAATTAGCAACATTTCTTGCCTAAATTCCTCATCAGTTATTGTGTGAAATTCATTAATAAAATAGAAGACAGAGAAATCCAAATACAATTGGCAACAGTATAAAATATGATTATCATAAACCTAACTGCTGTATATTAAATAGTCAAATACTTGCTATTACAGACAGTATGTAAAGTATTTACACTATAGAGAATATAAGCGTATCGTAAATGTTATATCAGTATATGGTCAATTTATCTGGACATTCTTGGACTTGCTAGTTATACTACCTCCACGGGCTTCCATATACTGTTCTGCCATTTTGATCATCTTGCCTACATCTTTTTGTGCTCTCTCTCCTTTAAAAACAGTGACATGTTAGTTGAACACATGGTCATGAACTGTTCATGTATTAATAGATCCCTCAAAACTATTTTCACACTTGGCCATGTCAGTCCATCAGGTGAAATATCACCACAGACGTGCCACAAACTGAAATATAGTTTCTCCAGTGTTGGGTTTGACTCCTCTGAACTTCCGATTAAAACCTTCTTCAATGGTTAGTGTTCATCTTAGTTTTACTGCATAATTTTTACCCATGGGTTCTCATCCATTACTCCTTGACAAGTCATATGTAGACAGTACTATTTTGTTTTAGTTCATTACTTTTTAGCATTTACATTTAGTGGATAATATTTTGACCTTGTTCATCACTTCTTAACATATTCCAATCACCTATAAATAAAAAAAAAAAAAAAACAAAAAAAAAAAATTAAATTAAATCTGGTTAATTACTACTTCACGTACCATTAGCAAATAGGGCTTAGATATAATAATTTGCTCCATACAATATCACCCATAGTCAATATTTAGATGAGGGTACTTACTCCAAGCATGTACCCTTAGTGTAGATACTGTTTAACTCTCTCAACATGGGCTCGGTCAATTTAACCAACCATGTGACCTCTTTGTACTCGTTTAAAGTCTTTATATATTTGATACTACTAACTTTTAATATAGTATGTATATCTTCACAAAATTTGTCAGTCTTTTAAATCAACTAAAAAAAGATTTGTCCACGAATATATTAAGTATTTGTTTTGAATAGTTTGTGTGCAAAGTGATTTTCATGATAAGATTAAAAATACTTTCCTTCATCTCAAAAGTCTCAAATTTCATTTGTATAACCTCTAAATTCTCCTAAATACATTTCAAATGTATGTTTTCAGTAAAACTTTGTATTTCATTTCTTATTTTCTCAACCTTAACTCCACACAAGATTGTTCAAATTGACCAAATTTGTAACCCCTAAAAAAAAGAAATCAAAATATTTCTAAATTACCCCTTTGTTCTTTCTAGAATGACTTCAAATTATAACGTGAAACTACATTTGTTTATCCTAATCAGCTTTAAATTTTATTGTTTTATTGCTCTTTGAACCGTGTGTAATGACTATTCATGCCATTATTACATGGGGAATGTGGAGCTCATGTTATGCTATTGAATTACTTTACTCATGAGCTGTTTGCATGCATGCCTCATGAAACATTTATTATTTATATTACCTAATCTAACCTAAAGAGATCGATATTTTTACATTTTAGTTACTTTTATAATAAAGAATAAACATGAAAAACAAGAAATAAAGTACTTACCCAAATATTTTTCTTTTTTTGCTGTCGATTGTCGATGACACTTAACCCTACTTTTATACTAATGGTAATAATGAATGCACTAAATTTGTCGTTAATTAAATAATGCACCAAAGAATGTAGAATAACAACATGCAAAAAGTAGACAATTTCCTCTAACTATGATAACTTTTCTGACTTTCTAACCATGCGGCAAGAGCCGTTAAAAATTTATCCAAGTTAGTTGTTATCTTTCTCGTGGGAATGAAGATTGTACTAACAGGAAAATGGACAATTTTCCATTCAGAAAACAATATAATACGTCATTTGATAGCTCTCTACTGGTTATACATAATATAGAATTAAATGTAAGAGAGAACTATTAACAAATCCTGAAAGAGAGAATTTGACAGGTGGGTGTGGCAAGAAGGGTCTGAGTTTCTATTTGATGGCTCTGTAACCAAACAAGATTGAAGGATATAAAAAGTATGGTTTGTCCGAGCAATGACGATTTTATAGTGAGTAATTTACGTTTAATTTTGTACTTATTGGATGGGTGGTGAATAAAATAGAGAAGAGGAGATGGCTAGAGAAAATGTTTCACCTGTGTAACACTAGAGGAAATTCATGACTTATAAAAAATATTGCCTAATAGAATAGATAACTTTAAACATGTATATCCTATTAAAATATGGATTATTAGCTAAGAGTTTTTGCTATACTAATTGGTATAACATAAATAAAAAGTAGTTTAATAAAATTTTGAATGTAAGTCACAAAAACCTCATGACGTGCAGTAAACGATGCCCAGGCAGATAGGTTTAATCTTGTTTTCTTACTTCTTATATATACATCTAGAAGATATTGTTCAGACTTGGTTCTTTTGAATGTGTTCATAACCTGTGATCTGGTGGCACTTTGTTGTAGGCTGACATTGGTTCCTCACTCACCGGTCTTCTGTTGTTCTGCTTTCTCATTGTTACTCCTCCTTTTGTTATTTTGCCATCAAGGCTTTGCTAACTTCTATTTTCTATTCTGTATCTCATTCCTCAACCCTGGCTGTCTTTGCCTTCAGTCTGGTCCGACCCATCTTTTTTACTGTGCATATTCTCTTCTCTATCTACTCCCTCAGGCCCTTGCCCAGTTTCTGTACATCCCGTAGGAGATTTGTTTGGTGGCTACTTCCCAACCTTGTTTCTATTACTCCACCTCCTCTAATCTCAGCCCTGTTTTCCCCCATCCCAACTTTCCATCCCTTTTGATCCACCCTCACACACTGCTTTTTCCTAGGGATATGACATCCCTTTATCGGGATTTAGTGTTTGTATAGTTGTAAATGTGTGTAAATGCTTATGGACATCCTGTTTCATATATTACCATGCTTATGCAGTAACCAATAAATGCGTAGTTTCCAGTAATATAAATATGGGTCGTTTTGGTTAGGCTAGTATTCTTGGTTTATTCACCAGCAAACTGCAAGTTCAAACAGGTGTTTATGTA